GGAGTAAGAGAGAATGGCCGACACGGACTTTGGGGAAGCTAAGGCTGGCTAAGCCCTCCCCTGCAGTCGGATGGACTCGCACCTGGCGACGGAGTCAACAGCCAACCCAGTGGTCCATCACCCATTAAAAGCTCAACGTGTGTCAGGTCGTGAACCGTGGTTCGTTCGATGTCAATTAATTGATCAACAAGTAAATTGCTGTTAAACTTCTCCGGTGACTGACTCTGTTAATTCATTTATTAATTTCGTGGAAGCTCCTCCGTGATACATGTGCATGGACCCGATGAAAGGGTGGGTGAATAATGAGGAAGGGCCAAGTTTCCAGAAGTAAGGGTGAAAATGAGGATGGATATTGGAGCAACTTTTTCCCAGGAATGCTAAAACCCAAACCCCCAAGAGGAGGGAATTGTCAAATTGGTGTTCGATTTGATGATTGACTGGCTTCAGAATTCTAAGCCTACGGTGGCAGGTAGTGGTGGAGGAGGAGGCCGGTTTTTAGATTAGGTACTGAAAAAAGAGTGGTGGGGCAACGAGTGAACATAGCTTTTAGATGAAAAGACTTGAGATTGGGACACATGTAGTACTGTAAGTGGCAAATATGTTCAAAGTCGAGTGCCTTGTGTCCTCTGCGACTGAGTCATGCTTGCTATTTCCGGCTCTGTGGTCCCCATATCCACTTCCTTCCCCTGTTTCATAATGCCCACTTCCGGTTGCTGCCAATTTCTGCTCCTCTTTTATATTATTTTATATTTTCCCTATTGAATTTATAGTTTTATAAAATCCGTCATCAAAATCAATATTTTAAATTTTATTAAGAAAATATATACGAAAGTTTTTTTCATCAGCATATGCTTTATAAATATTTACTGTTAAAGTAAATATTTTGGGTGCCAATTTAACAGAAAGATGGCAGTGCTTTTTTTGTTATATTAAAAAAGCGTGCGTTTTTGTTTACAATAGAGAAAAGCATAATGCATGATTAGACGTGACTAAATATCGAAAAGCCCGACAAAAAACTGAGTCGTAATAATTTTAAGTGAGATTTTTTCCACATATTATGACTTCCTTAAATTTTAGACGGCTTAAAATTTTTTTTTTTGCTTTGTGAGGTGAAATTTTTTTTAATATATTTATCTTATATATTGTAAAATTACTCCTATGCTCCATTGAGAGACACGTGTCTTACATTTAAATTTAGAAGTAGTGCTATATACCCATTAATAATGAGATATTTTTAGTTACCCCCTGGTACATTGGTAATAATTTAAAAGTTCTCCTTACTACTCATCTTTTTAACCATTTTTAGCAATAATCTTTTTCAGATTTGAACTTTATAGAGATTAGTTTATGAAAGCCCGTAAATATTGTTCTTCAATATCGGTGATGATTTTTCCTATGATAACTACATATATGTGTCTTGTAGCATTATAACATAGCTAAGTATGGTAAAACTCTTAAAGCCAAAGTAGCCAAAATGCTTGCCAATTCAGTTCATACTAATTCCATACACTGCTCGCCTGTTGATGTTTCGAGTGCCCTAATTATCCCTAATCCTGGTTTCTAAATACTACCTCAAATCCTTAATATAAGAACTCATCTGATTTTTATTTTGGTCCTAAATATAATACATCAATCCATTTTGTCTCTCATATTTATTTATTTATTTTACAAGGTAGTTCTTATAATAATAGTAGTTCTGGTCAATACATTTAATTAGCAAGAATATTTTAGAAAAAAAACATATATTTATTACAAATAACTAATTTAACTAGTTTCCTCAATCTGCTCAAATTAGTCAACTGAGTCTTATATAAATGATGGGAGGTAGTACCTTTTAATATAATTTACTAATGACTGTTAACCCCCCGATTCTCATATCTAATTATCGTATAACATATCCTAGTTTTATATTTAATTATTACGGTCCAGCCGAACGAAATTTCGTACAATAAGATCCTCCTCTGGAAGATGCTCATCGTTTTACAATTGGAAGTTCAAATATTTGATATGAGTTCGTTTTGAATCAAAACTAAGACCACCTCAAAATGGTTGGTTTTACGTAATTCAAGACTCGTTAGTTCGAGATTATGATATTTAATTTTTATAACTGAGTCAAGTATTTATCATTATCTCATGACTTGTTTTCTTCGAACAACCACCCTTAACAACTTAACTAATTTGTATTTCTTTTCATATCAATTTTAGTAATTTGTTATTTATGATCTAAGGATAACGTGACTTTCTGTAAATTTTACATGAAGTATTAGTTAAAACTTTTTCTTACATCATATAAGCAGAATAACTAACTCGCACTTTAATTTCCGATAGGCGTGGGGAGTAAATTTTAGTGAGTTTGATTTTATAATATGGTTTGAATTGAATTAAATATATCTTTTCACATATTTTTATTAGGTACATGTAATATTAAACTAATATACTAGCTAGTATGTTGATACGGATGATTATTTACGTGGACGTGCCAAATTAACCGTAGCCCGTGTATGTCGTTTTCAGTGGAGGCCACAACGTGAGAAGTATGATCTGAAGGAATTGGAGGAGCAGTGTCAATTCATGAAATGAAGCCCTTGACTTTGAGCGAGTCAATCTAATGTAATTTATTAATTAATGCAACTTTAACACAACTATTAACAAGTGATTTTAGTTTTTTCAGGGCACTCTGTGTTTATCCTGTAATATCTTCAAGTGCCCCTGTTCATATATAGGCATGACGATGCTTAGATGTTCACGTGTGTTTAAAATTTTGGTAAGATGTGCTAAGTACTGAAACACTTTAAAAATTACACTTCCTCTCATTAAGTATATATTATTAGTACTATTTGAAAATTATAACCTATTATCATTAATAGCGTAGTTAAAAATAAATTTTTTGACAATTAAAACTAAAACAGACAGCATGGAAAATTTTAATAATAACAGTAATGATAATATTATTACTATTAGAAATTAGTAGTGTATTATTTTTTCTTAATGTATTGGGAGATTTTTTTTTTGGCCAGCGTATCTGGAGAACTTGAATATTAAATTTCCATCTACGCCAATCCGGTTCTATGATTATGGGAGCTTAAAGTGGTTATTGATGTGTCTTTTTGTTATAATGAGGATTGATGTAGCTAGTACGGGCTAGTAGCACATTGAGGTGGGAGAAAAACTTGGTGCGACTCACATGCCGCTCCAGGTCCCAAAAAAAAAAAAATCTCATGCGGTGTAATGATTGTGAAGTTTGTGATTTTGGGAAGCATTACAAGTTGTTCTGGAAAGCATTTCTTTACGGATTGGAATAAATTCTTTCACATATTTATTTTATATATTATAAAAATATTTTTAAAACTATAATTTTGATTTTATTTGTCCTTCAGTGAGATTAATTATAAAAAAATACTCGACAACTTTCAAAAAATACTTCTAAGAAGTATTTTTTTATAAAATAAGACAAATTTTTTTACATATTTATTTTGTTAATCATAAAATCACTTTTAAAATTATGATTTGGTTTTTATTCAAACACCTCTTAATTATAATAGGCCATTTTTTTTTACTAATTGAATTTGAAAAACGTTAAGGGAAACGAGAGGGCAGTTTTTGATGTGACAATGGTGCTTGTACCCGATTATGAAAGAGTGCACCTCTTATCATATTTATCCCCTTTTGGGTTACTGACTGCTATTGTATGTGATTGAGTGTATAAATTTTAATCGGGAATTGGATATTTTATTGTAAAAAAGTAATAATCTTAAAAATTCAAATTTTATTTTGCGATATTATAAAAAATTAGCTCTGCATGTGTTTCTTGAGATGGTGTTACCCTCCCGCGTTTTGACTGAATAAGCGCACACGCCCCACTCATCTCACCTCATAACATCAAACCACATTTTATAAGCCCAAAAATTATTGTTTTTATCTCTGCATTTCCATCTTATCTAATTTGATGTCTCTTAACAATATAGTATATATATAATTAATTCACATATATATATATATCAGTATGCGGAAGCATGCATGAACATATATACCGATCATTAAATAAATAAGTAGTTGGGCTAATAAATAATAACATAAACCTCGGATCTGAAACAGTGAAACTACAGTAATCTCAAGGAGGACCGCACGATCACTGTTTTTTGTTATAGTAAATAAATAAACTTGAAATGCAACTTCTTCAAACCTTGAAGATCGAGTGGAGGCCAGAAGACATTGTCCATCCATGCCGACTTTCCCAAAAAGGTTCCCCTATCCTCATGTTCTGATATTATTTTTTTTTTGTGAAATTTGAAAAACACGAGCGGAAAAAAACAAAAAGCAGCAAGAGGAAAAAATGTGTATGAACGAACTCACTCATACGCACACGTACGTACCCCTACTTTTTTTTTTTAATGGTATGGAATTTTGGAATAAAGAATTATAAAAAAAAAAAAGCTTTGCAAAATGCCATATATAAGTATTGATATATATATTAGCTTTGTAAGATAATCCTTTGTTTTTTTTTGGAAATAGAAAAACAAAGGAAACGAAGAAATATAATGGTAGCCAGTGGTGTGTTGGTTGTATATATATCATGAATCGATAGACCAAAAAGTACGTGGGATGGAAGTTAATAGGAAATTACAAAAAGAGATATGGAGAAAGAGATGAAATGCATCATCATATGGTTAGAGAAAATAGAGAAAGATATTGAAAGGAAGAAGAGAAAGCACAAAGAAAGAAAGAAAGAAGCCAAACTTGAACAAAATGAAGGGAGCTAGCTTCTCTCATTGGTCAAAAAAAAAGAATTCAGTTTGGATATATGTTCATATTCAAATTGTGGGGTCTCTGCCTCTCGCTTCCTATATCCTCCTTCACACTCACATGAATCCATCCCATCCCCGCCTATAAATATTCAGCCCTAGCAAGCCCTTCTTTTCACCACCTCACCCTTCTCTCTCTTACACCAGTCTGATATATAATTTCACCCATTAGTATTTGCCTGCGCAGATATAGAAGGCATGAAAATGGAGTCTAGGAAAGCTAGCCAAGAGTGTCACGGCCAAGACTCTCCTTATTTTGTGGGTTGGCAGGAGTACGAGAAGAATCCTTATCACCCCCTTGCAAATCCTTCCGGAATCATCCAGATGGGACTCGCAGAGAATCAGGTTTCCTCATTTTTTCATCAACATAAACACCTACGCCTATTCTGCTTTCCCATTACCGCACAAATGCAATGCCCATTTTTTCTCTGCATAGGAAAAAGGAACCCAAACTGCTGCCCATTTTTTGGGGGCGCATATGTAAAGGACGTGGCAGAATATTGTGGACATTCTTAGAAACCTGACAATACTTTGTTTGAAGTGATCCCGCAAGCACTATATCTGTTTGTGCGTGTGTCTGTGTGTGTCTGTGTGCTTTCTTTTACCTAACGAATAATGAATGAAATTGAAACCTGCGTACGTGTATTTGTAGCCCCCCAATCTGACATGTTTGTGTAATGATGGATCAGCTGTCATTCGACATTGTTGAGGCATGGCTGGAGAGAAACCCAGACATATTGGGGCTCAAGAAAGATGGATTATCGGTGTTCAGAGAACTCGCTCTCTTCCAGGATTATCATGGCTTGCCCTCTTTCAAAGAAGTAAGCTATTTTCCTGCTTCTCGCCCACTGTTAATACTAGTACTGATCATACACACAAAATATAATTGGGAGTTGTCCATACAAATTATAATTTTGTCATGTTTTGGTTAGTCATCACGGTGTGTGCGTATACAGCTCAGAACTCGCCATGATATGAATTTGCTCACATATACTACAACCAAACACGTCTTTATCTGAAACACGTCAGTTGACAAGCGTCACACGTGACCCGCGACCGGACAGGTTAACGAAGTTACTGTTACGTAAGGAGGCGACGCGGGGTAGTTCTTAATAAAGAAGTTAATGATGGTGATACAATATTTACTGTCGATAATTTTTTGTCAGAAGTTTAGAATTATTCTCAATTTTATCTGAAATATTTATTTTATATGTTAATTAATTTCTTCTCACTGCATGCATGTCAACCAACAGGTATAATAACTGACGCGGTTTTAATTTTTCTATCTCTGTTCTCTAACTTATTGTGGATCAAATAGGCTCCTCCCCTCTACGCATAAAACTAAAAGTAGAAATATCCTGATTCGTTTAGACTTCAAATAAACTTGACCTACTCGCATGCAGCACGCACCATCAATCTGTTCTGATTTATTGGGTTCATATTAAAAAAATTGAAGCAAGACAAACATTCTTAAAAAAAATGGACAGAAGCCTTAAAGTCATGGAATAGAAAAGTGCTTTTTTGCCAGGGTTCTTTTCCCATTTCTAATCATCAGTATGTGGAAGCAGGCGCTGGTGAACTTCATGGCAAAAATAAGAGGGAACAGAGTAAACTTCTCCTCGGACAGACTCGTTCTCACCGCGGGGGCTACATCCGCCAATGAGATTCTCATGTTCTGCCTTGCTGATCCAGGCGAAGCTTTCCTTCTTCCCACTCCCTACTACCCTGCGTACGTTTCTCTTCGGACTAATGGGTTAATTATTTGATTATTACTTCAAAAAGGACCATTAATTCATTAACCTATGTGTGTTTTTCAGATTTGATAGAGATCTTAAGTGGAGGACTGGGGTCGAAATAGTTCCCATACATTGCTCCAGCTCAAATGGCTTCAGAATAACTCCCTCTGCTCTTGAACAGGCCTATCAACAAGCCCGATCACTGAATCTAAACGTCAAAGGGGTCTTGGTGACTAACCCCTCCAACCCTCTGGGCATATCCCTGAGCAAAACTGAGCTGAACCTTCTCCTGGATTTCGCCATTGAGAAGAAGATTCATATCATAAGTGACGAAATTTATTCAGGCACAGTCTTCGACTCGCCCACATTCGTAAGCATCATGGAAGTAGCAAACGAAAAGACCATCCATGACGCTGGGCTGTGGAGCCGCATTCACGTTGTTTACAGCCTGTCGAAGGACCTTGGCTTGCCCGGATTTCGAGTAGGCATGATCTACTCAAATAGCCACGTGGTGGTGGATGCAGCCACAAAGATGTCAAGCTTCGGACTGGTGTCTTCTCAAACTCAGTATTTGCTGGCGAACTTACTCTCCGACGACAATTTCACGGAAGAATACATGAAGGAGACTCAGGGGAGACTGAAAAAGCGAAGGGAAATGCTGGTTTCGGGGTTGAGAAAAGCAGGGATTAGGTGTCTGAAGAGCAACGCTGGGCTGTTCTGCTGGGTGGACATGAGGCATATGTTAAGGTCAGACAGTTTTGAAGCAGAGAAGGAGCTCTGGAAGAGGATTCTCATGGTGGTTGGCCTGAACATATCTCCGGGATCATCATGCCACTGCTCTGAACCGGGTTGGTTCAGGGTCTGCTTCGCCGACATGTCGGAGAACACTTTGCAAGTTGCAATGCGACGATTGAAGGTGTTTGTTGACTCAACCGGGTCTGCTTCTGGTGGTAGAATCAGTAATTCTGAGATGTCATCACTTGGCAGGTGGGCTTCCCAGTTATCACCGTCCTGTGACTGGGAAGCTGACACTTATTTCTGAATTCTGACTTTGTTGTTGTGGAAACAAAAAAGCGTGAAGCTTGTTGCCCACTAACAAATTTGCGGCTTGCTTCATTGCTCCTGTGTAAGGGTTGTGATCCTTAGGTATGGATAGGATTTATGATCGTTCCATATATCATAACGAGATTAAAATGAAGACCTTCGGTGGATTTAGGAATAACGAGATCCTTAAAGATAATTGACTAATTTTAATCTTTAAAATCATTTACCGTATATTTTACGTAAGTTCAATTATGAACAATTTATCGCCTGAAAACATATATGGACATGCCTAAAAGCATATTCAGGGGTAGACACAATTGAATTGGACTCCACAAATGACGCTCCCGGTACCTATGCAGCTCCAGCCGCTCCTCACGGTAGCTGTGCTTTGTTCTCCCTCAGATTCCACAAACTTTCCCCATCTTTATAAATCACAATCAGCTCTCGCAAAATAGCCTAAAAAATTAATAGGCCACTGGAGTCCTTCCATCCCGTCATTCCAAATCAAATCTAAGTGGCAAGTGAACGATTTGATCGCACAATGAATTAACATGTACTTTTCAATGTCTGTAAATGAGAATTTTTTTGACATCAAATTTCGAATTTATTTAACCTCTTTATTTCTTAAATTGGAGTGAATTCAACTGTGAGCATAGCCCAATAAAGTGCGGCACACTATAAGCCCCAACGCTGACATCAGTGAATAAAACAGAGGAAGATGTCATTTCGAACGTTGAAAGAGCTAAATCGCAGCATTAGGATCCCCGCCGCTATGAACTCTGCAGCTTCTCTTGTTAGATTATTAACAAATACAGTGGGCTAATTTCCAAAGTTCACATCGCCTGACCCCACCCTCCAACCCTGCAAAAACCTTTGCATCGTTATCTTTCATCAGTCCGCTCAACCTCTACGTTAAACGTAACATCAACGCTAGGGCAAGAGAAGAATAATGTTGATTTCCTTGAGCATATACCGTGTACAAACATTCCCCAGCCTGAACAAGCGGGGCAGGCAGTCGAAGTGGTTAATCCCCGGCCCCCGGGGGGGGGGGGGTTGAAATTCTGAGTTAGTATAAGGCAGCGCAGCTAAAAGCCTAAAACAGGGTAAGATATAATGGAAAACATAGTTTGCATTTGCATCATGGTGGTGCTAGCACAGGATGTAATCTATACAAAGGTGAACCCAAAAATTGAACTTTTCTATCTATATCCTATCATGCGATTCATGAAGCCTCCAAACCGGAGGAGGAAAAACTACGCTCGTCTTGATTCTTTGACTCTTCTCTCGAACTTTTCCAATACCACAGTGCCTGCATCAGGCCACCATTTGCTACATGCAAAAGAAAAACCCGAGCTTGTATTCCGAACCATGCAGAGATGATCTTCACAAACACAAAAAAGCAATACATCCCCAAAACTTGTTGATTCAAGCCTTTATCCTGTCAAGGAACAAGCCATAGAAAACACAATAAAAAAAATCTATTGTAACAGGTAAAGAAACTGAACAATAATTATGAAACTTAACAATATCAAAAAGATTAAAGATATACCTCCGAGATATGAAACAATTCTTGCGATGTCTCCTTCAAAAAGTCAGCCGTCAGGCAGCCAACCAGGAGGCCTATGGGAATCACTAGCTCACGATTTATATATAATGTGTATGCAATATCTGACATAGAGCTAAAAACAAAAAATAAAACAAGGAACCACTTCAACGCCTCTCTTGCAAGAGAAATCAACCTATCTACAAGTTTATGCTCCGCTTTACCCCAAGGAAATTCCTGAACTGAGATTGGCAACATTTCTCTAAGCTTCTCCTTCATGTTTCCAATCTGCAACTTAACCTCATCAGGCTCATTATGGTCTGCCATTGAGATCTTCATTATACAAGTTCTGGCATGGAGCGTTTGCTGGGGAAGCTGTATTGCTGAGCACCTTGGGAGTTGACATGGTTGCCCAAGAAACAACTTAATCTATTCAAAGCACAAAACGATATTGCTAAGAAAGAATGAAATGTAGGATTATCTCAATTTGACATTACGCCAGCGTCATTTTGGTTGACGGTTCACATTGCCTCATATCTAAGTATGGAAATTACTGAACTTAAGTGAAATCCAGTAATTAAACGAAGTTTCAAGGGAAGAAACCAATGACATTGAAGTTCCGGAGACGTTAAATCTAAGTTCCCTATCTTTTCACCTTCAGGAGAAGATGCTTTGCGCACTTCATATTAGTGAAAGAAAAAGGGCATAAACGATGCAAACTTCTGGAGAAAGAATAAGAGATAGGAATTTGCAAGCATACCCGAAACTTTGGAGTTGAAGAAATCGGAAGCGCAGGCAGAAGCGCCATTGACACGAAGGCTTCAATACTAGACTCACGACTGGCAATATCCTCAACCTCTCACCGATCCCCGAACTGACCGTGCTTCCTTTCTCTAGGGTTTAGCAGACAGACAGTGGTGGGCCCGATAAATGGGCCTGTACTTTCTCTGGACAGCATTTTCAGCCCAATATAAAATAGGCCCCTTTGCTTTGGGATTTTTTTTTTAAATCATGAATGGATCGAGGGAGACGCTGCCTTTTCCCCCCCATTTTGTCAAAGGAGAGACATCGCATTGGGGAAAGGAACATGGTGTTGTGCCCAAAAAAAAAAAAAAAGAATAATGGTGACCAACAAAAAGCTTAGCACAGTTGGTAGATGACTAAGTCCCTTGAATATGATGTTTTCGGTTCAGACCAGACCATGTGCATAGAAAAAACTTTGTTCAGAGATGCAAAATTCATTTTGATGATCTCTATATCTCGAGAAGATTAATCTATAGTTATCTAGTTTCTGCCAAAAAAAAAACGAGAAGAAGAATAACGGTGGGAATATTAGAATGGGTGCTGTGGGGTCATCAATTTTGAAGCAGATAAGAATTAAAACAAATTAGTGAGGCGATGTGTGAAGAATATTTGATGTTTGTGAGTGTCATAATCAGCTCATAAACAAATAACGCTATTGCAATTAACTAATTAATGCATAGGGATTTGGTTAGGATCTGCGGGTAGAGAGGGATTATTATTATAACTGCAAAAACAACACAAGTCGTCGTTTGGCTATTGTCAGGATTAAGGCGTGCCCTGGCTATGGGACCTTCAATCACGGACATGCTTTGGTTCTTATTATCAATATTATCCCCGTCGACATTCATTTGACAATTGACAGAATTATATAAATTGTTAAGTTTCAAGTATCTTGGTTCTACCTTGCAGGATTCTTCTCTTGCGTTTTTTTGTGTGTTAGGGATATTCCCTTGCACTTTACAGGGCGATATTAAGCTTCCATGTCCTCTCATCTGGCGTGCTAATTATTAAATTCTGTGACGCTGCTTTTTTAATTAATTAAAAGTACCGTTTCCAATGGCCCTAGCTTCTGGGGAACCTCATCAACACTGACCCATGTTCTTTAAAATGCCTTGCTTCATGAACACACACCCAGTTTAGTGTTTCTTGAGATTAAAGCGAATATGTCTGGCTTTTGTTACAAACCCGAAAATAAAATATCAGCAGATTTGAATAAAAGATACTGAAATCCTTGGCGCAGTTATTATATGTAATTAAAAGATTTTCAAAAGAATAAGCTAATGGGCCCTAAGTTTGAAACTGTCATCACACACACACACACCTGCTACAATTTCAATCTGTGTCAAGTGTCAACCATTTCTAACGGATCATGACCATGGCTTATACCACGGAATCCACAGTCAACAAATATGCACATCTAAAACAGTGGTACAACTGTAATCAACTACTCTATACAATGCAAGACATTCACTTCTTTGACCGTTTGAGCAAATTAACGAAGTAAGAATTGGGAGGTCTATATGCGGCCGGATGTGATGAATGATGATGTAAAAATTAGAGCTAAAGCATCCCTATAATTAATTAATTAATTCTTCTTGTCTTCGATTTTCACACTATCTACAGACTAACTAGACGGCCAGATCAGGCTTTCCTAGTCATACATAGGACGGCTAGTGACAAGAAACGATATATACTTCGACAATTAACACTCCTGTTGATTTCAATGAAACGGCTTATACAAGCAATCCGCCAGCACGCAACTTCAAGGTACCTGTGACGATGAGGCAAGCATTTTTCAAACAGTTGGTTTTCAGTCAATATCACAGACGAAAAGAAGGCGTTTGTGGTGCACAAAGTATGGTTGTTTAATTACTATCCTTTGACCTTTAACCAATTACAACGCACTGAACTTACATGCATCCTTCCGTCCTTGAACAAAGCAAAAAAAAAAAATCATCAGATGATGGATATTTCGATCGTTGAATCGTCTGCAGATGTGGATATACCAGTTCTGGGTCAAAATATTAGGCATGCATCTTAACAACAAAGTTGATTAAGTCTCGGATACATCCAATGCATGATAAGTCCAGCTGTTGAATTGTTTCAAGAAAAAGTGGACCAGAGTCCTCTTATCTTCTTAGTCAGCACAATCAATTTCGTAGACTTAAAGAATATGCATAAATAGGATTCGAATCCAATGCGAAATAGTGCAATATATTTAAAACAAGTATAGTTCCATGTTGGTCATGTTATTCGGCTGGTAAAATATTTACTGAACATGTGCAATAATTACTTTAGAACTTATTTTATGGAGAGCGTACAATGAAGGATTACTTCTTTAAACAAGCAGAGACTTAGAATATCCCTTAATTACAAATATCAACTAATAATAAATTCCTCGATTTGGCCACATTTGTGAATTGTGATCGCTGTTGTCAAATCATGAGTTGACTTTTTGAATTTGATGTTTTTACGTTTTTAACTAATAAAATCGTGTTGATTCGCTCTTAAACTCGTGATATCTGTAAACTCGGTTAAACTTACGAGTTCATTTACTGAGTTTATTGTTTTTAAATTTTTAGCTTACAAAATCGTGTCAACTTGCTTTTAAACTCGTACTAAGTTTTGTAATTTAGGGTGTGTTTGGGTGACACCCCAAACCATGGTTTGGGGAATAAATCACCCAAACACCCCTCCAAAAACCAAAACCATGGTTTTGGGTCAAAACCATGGTTTTGAAAAAAGCAAAATTTTTTTGCTTTTGGAGAAAAAAGGGAGAGTGTGAGGGTTTATATGATATGTATCTTGTTATTTTTTTTATAAACATATTTTTTTATAAGTATAGTTAATCTTATATTTTATAAATATATATACACATTAATTATTTATTAATTATATTATCTTATGTATTATTAATTATGTTGGTAAAAAACATATTATTAACAATTTTATTCCTTCAAATTAAAATATATCATAAAATCTATTTTTTCTGTAATTATCATATTAACTTATGTCTTTTTTTTAGTAATTTGTATATATAAAAAGTGCTTCTGATAACAACTATCCAAACACTCTCACTTCTCAGAATCACTTTTTTACAAAATCTATTCTTCACAAAATCTATTTTCCCCAGAATCTATTCTCCAGAATCACTTTTCCAAACCACGGTTTGGTTTCATCCAAACACACCCTTAATTATGTTTAGTGACTTTATATATGAATTTTATAAAAAAAATTTTGTTAAATATGATAAATTCTAAATATTGATGGGTATAATTTCAATTATTTAAATTTAAAATATATTTAAATAAAATTATTCTCATTTTTTATATATTAATTATTTGATTATATACTTTTAATACTAGCTTATTAATAAAAGTAAACTCTTACAATTCGTAAAAAAAATAAATAAATTCTTACAAGTTCACGATCTGAATTTGCGATTTGAATTTATATCATTATCACGAGTTTGTTTAAACCTACGAGCTTGACAACCTTAGTTGTGATCATATGCATTCCAATTTTGCGAACAACCTTTAGCTTGGCAATCTCTTTGAACATTCCCTACATAGCTAGCAATTATCGCACGTTATTCACTGCATAACCATAAGTGGAGAGAAGAAAACACACTCTCATATATATATATATATATATATATATTTGTAATGTAATACTCGGGCTTTAGATCTCTCGTAGGTAATTGCGGTTTTCTGACCTCTAATCATAGTGAATGATGAGATTATGAAATGCATGAATCGATACTCTTTGACCTCGGGAGCATCAACGTTTTCACCGTTTGACAAAACCCTTTTAATAGGACTCAACTACATGATAATTAATATATAGGGCCTTTTCTCTGTACTGGAGAGAGAAGGGGAGGCATAGGGGCAAGTGGAATGGGAAAAATAAAGAAATAGCAGAAACAGTGAAACATAGGAGAGTCATAAATCTAATCCATGGTCCATCTGTGCATAGATAATGCAGCGCATTAATTAGCAGTCTAGCCATGAGTCTAGATTAAAAACGAAAAACAGAAACGGATCAAACGAGTCTAGACATTTAATGTAAAGATACTCTCCCGCCCCACAAAATCACAATATACCATGCAAATATATTACTAACTTCAGTTTTTAATATAAGATTTATCTAATTAATTTGAAAAGATTAAAAAATTAAATATAAATTACTTAATTATAGCATGTTTTATGATCTAACTAAAATATTTATATGAATCACTAGATTATATATTGATTTATGCATGAGCAAGTTATTATGGAGAAAAACGATAAATATAAATAATTTAATAATTTTTTTAAATTAGTTAACTAAGTTTTATATTAAAAACTGAAGAAAGCAAGGGTAATATGCGGAAAGTTTGAGAAATGACTTCTTCTATCAAAGGGTATCTTCAACATAAAATAATTCTTATTATGGAAAGCCTCATCTCCTAGAACAGTACATTCGCTCTACATGATGAAATGTTGTATATTTTGTCCCATATATAGTAAAGAAAAATCATGATTTAGAACGTAATTTCTCTACTCTCGCCTAACACTGCAAAACATTATGATGTTGATTCTTCAATTATCAATAGTCTGCAAACTAATTGTGCAAATACATGAAGCTGAACTTCAAGTCGAATGCGGGCCAAAGATCAAACCTTAAGTGCTATAGAGAGAGAGAGAGAGAGAGAGAGAGAGAGAGGAAACTCTTAGTGACAGATGGCCAAGTGTAAATTTATTTCAGTTTCCTCCTGACGACGAGTCACTGGTACATAAATAGAATAGAGATTGTGCCACACGCATAAATTCTACTTATCTAACTAGCTATGCACAGGAATCCATACTCAGAGGGTGGCGACAAGGGAGATAATAAGGCTTAAATTGAAATAAAATCTTCAAAATCTTCCCGTGCGCTATACAGAACTGCAAATTGTCATGGCTTCATTCTTATTTTCTCCAAGAGGAACATAGAAATTAAAGCTGACACACGAAGAGTCCCACGAATGCTTTTCCGACAGTACTCTTGCTTGCATTTAAGATATTACGCGTGAGAAAAA